AATTGGTTGTGGCAGTCTGAGAAGGAGAAGGGAGTCCAGAACTGGGTGTTAGTTATACTTAGTTTACCCCTAGATTCCACTGAATTCTGCCTGGGTGATAGGAAACTGCCCCTTTCACTTAAATCAAATATCTTTGACCAAAGGATCAGAGACAAACCTAGAAAAAAAAAATCATATAGAAAATAGAAAGAATGATCTAATGGTGTTGACATTTAGGGGGAAGATCTCTTTTTATCAGCGCCATAAAATGTAGCTCTTCAAATCTGAAACGTTTCTTGCAGGCTGGAATATCTACAAATGAAGATGGACAGCGAGAAGGACATCAACAAACAGATTTTGGCAAAACAGATCTGTGAGACAGAACGTGAAATAGATGATATCAAGTAAGTTTCTTATGGCCTTCGGTTTTCTTTTCTTCCCCCCCCCTCCCCAACCGCCTTTTTTGGCACGTGGTGTAATTACTAACCTTTTGCACACCAGCTGCTGTGGAAAACGTTACGCAGGACTGATAGCCAATCCTAATCATTCTAATAATACAAAAATTGTATTGGGGTAAACATCAAGTCCTCATGGCGGTTGTAGTTTATTAAAGGTGTAGCCTGCTTTATGGTTAATTATGTGTTCCTAATATATGTAATAAAACTGGTCAGAGATTTTGAAAGATTATAATTTTACTTGCGTCTTTCAGCCAGCTGTCTGAGGACGTCTTAGTTGCAGAGAGAACCGCCGAGCATGACTGGGATAAGATCTCCAATATCAACGTGAGTTGAGGAGTGCAAATTCTATCCACCGTTGCATGTGTTTCCCTATATATTTCCACCATGTTCATTTCTGTTTTCATAGTTTGAAGGGGCTCACAGCGCAGAGAAGCTGAGAAAGATCTGGCAGAACAGTGAACATCCTCACATTTCCAAGAAGGAGTGGAAAGAGGAGGAAGTGACCAAACTGCTAGAAATAGCGGCTACGCAGAAGTACGTCAACTGGCAGGCGATCACCCAGGAGTTAGGGGTGAGTGTTCTATCCTCCAGTGATAGAATGGTTGGATTTCTTTCTGTCTGTCTTTAGATAGAGCAAGCACTGCTTCTGTGTACTCAGAACCCAATAAAAAAAGCAAAAACTGAGCGCGAATAGGAAAAGGAGGGAGTGGGAATAGGCAGTCTGAGAGAGAGGTTAGCGCTGAAAGATCTTAGTCTGGGAAACTTTGTAGAAGAACCCTGTATTCTTTCTGCTCGTATGTGGGACGGGGCTCGGCTGGTTTGTCAGCAGCAGGGTAGTCCAGAAAGGAACGGTCAGCTCTGACCGAAATCAACGTCCTCTTTTGTACCCCTGATGTGTGATGCTATAAAGGACCTAGAAGGTCATCTAGAAGGCAGGTAAAATATAAAATTCCTATATACTTTTTGGCCCTTTGAATAGGCCACAGTAGTTTTTCCCCAATGTGGTAGAACTTTGATTTCTCGATAAAGATATTTGCTGCATGTGTGGTTCACAAGAGCCTTTTGTTTTTTTAACTACATGGAGACTGTGATAAGTAGAGCCAGTCAGTAAATACTAACAGACAGACATCGGTTTAACTCCCATAATCCCATGTCGTTCCCTAAACTAGTGGTTATTAACTCCATCCACAAATATTGGACAACAGAGTAAATTCAAGGAATCCATGATGCTAACAGATAGTTTGACAGCTCTAATGGGAGTAATAGATGGACCAATAAGCCTTTGTCTACTGTCAGCCGATGTAAATGCTTGTTTTAGGTAGAAGAATAATAATATTGCAAAAGATGAACATTATATACAATCAAATTGTCAGTGTGTGAGGATAATGTTTGTTATTTGCGCTTTAAATCATCTGAGTGAGTGAGTAGAACGGTTATCCAACATGTTTCAAGTCATATTTAATAAAACACTATTTGTTTTGTGCTTTCCTTTTAGACGAAAAGAACTGCCTTCCAGTGTCTGCAGAAATACCAACAGCTGAACAAGGATTTCAGGCGGAAGGAATTTACCAAGGAGGAAGACGACATGCTCACAGACTTAGTACAGCAAATGAGAGTTGGAAACCATATCCCTTACCGCAGAAGTATGTTGTTTAAAATATTGTTAATATACAGGATGTTCACGACCCGGCACCAGTAACCATTCAGCTCTTTCTAAGTCACATCTGTCTGTTTGCGCAGTTTGGTTACATGTGCTCAAAGTTGTAATTCGACAATTAAGGCTCAATTTCTGTATTGTAAAATTTCCCTGCACTTCTCAATATACTTCACCCTTGCACCTTCCTTGATAAGCTCGCTATATCTTATTGTGCTATTCCATTCCATGTCATTCAACGAGCTACAAAGGTTCAACTTCCTAAATCAATTTGTATTTGTGTCCCCACGTGTATGGACAACCTTTATCTAGCTCTCTGTTTTCCTTTAAAGGAACCCCACACCCCAATGTAAGTAGACAAAGCGCTTTTGAATGGTTTGATTTTTAACCTGTAGTCTGCTGGACTTCACTACTAGAACCAGAGAAACTCCTAAGCAGAAGCTTAATTTTGCTCTCCTGTGCTAAGCCTTACAGTGCAAGGCTGAGCTCATTGGCTTAGAATGATCAGCTGAAAGGCCTGCCCGTTGAAACAACAAATCTATGTGTTATTTATGTTTATTTTATTTTTTCATTTTTAGTTTCTTATTTCATGGAAGGCCGGGAGCCTATGCAACTCCTATGTCGGTGGTCTAAAACTCTGAATCCTAGTCTGAAGAGAGGCAATTGGTCCCCAAGTGAAGACGAGGTAGAACATTTTTTTTAAAAGAGTTATTGCTTTTGACTCAATTTTCAGTTTTTCTTTGTTTCTCAGCAATAGGTTATAGAGGGAAGTCACCTTGTTTATCTAGCAGATATGCCGCCTGCGTGACTTTGAAGGAACGTTATAGTTATTAGTTTATAGTATTTGTTCTGGTGTCTGTAAAGGCTTTTTGTTGTAAATATTGCTTTTTCAGAGAAAAGGCAGTGTTTACATTAGAACCTAGGAACACCTCTAGTGGCCACTCCACAGGTGGCCACTAGGAATGCTTCCTGGGGCAGTGTAGCACAGTGTGACTGACGTTCAGCGTCTCCATGCTTTCCTCATAGAGATGCATTGATTCTATGAGGAGTTGCTGATTGGCCAGGATGGGGTTTAGCTCCACCCCTTCCCCCGCCTCCTTGAAATCCAATGCTTTCCTTTAATGCTTTTAGGTGTAAAGCATATTCACTACATTAAAAACAATGCATCTGCTGTTTAAACTAATAAATAAATACTGAGATGGTCAAGTCCTGAAAAGTTTTGTGTTTAAATTCTGATGTTGTTTGATGCCTTTTGCTCTTGATACAAAGTCATTTTCAAACCGCAGTTTCAACACAAATCTTGACATTGTGCATGATACGCACAGATTTAGTCATTAAACTAGGAATTGGGAAGAACTATTATTTTAGTCTAAAAGTCTGTAAAATTCTCAGACTCGACTACTGTAACATCTTCCCATTATTGACATTAAATATTTCTCTTTAAAGAACTGGCAGAGTCACTGTTACTGCTAAGTCGTTGGTTTCATTGTTGGAGATATTGTTTTCAAAGTCTATTATTTTGTTCTAATCTTTTCTCAATCAGTTTTCAGTCTGCGCCAATGCAGTGTTTAGCAAACGTGTGTTCTCTTCTTGTGTAGCTGTTGCTGAAAGCGGTTTCTAAATACGGGGAGAAGGACTGGTACAAGATCCAAAACGAGGTTCCAGGAAGGAGTGACGTGCAGTGCAGAGAAAGGTTGGTTCCACAGAAGAACACTGGCCTCCCAATCCGACAAGTAGCTTTTATCCCAACGGGATAAAATGTGACCTCACTTTCCATTTCAGAATCGTTCAGCCTCATTCTTAATAATCAGCCCTCAGAATAATGCAGAGTTTGCTCCTCTGTTACAATCCCAAACAAATGTGAGCAGTGCCTCTTCGTATATTTGGTGAAGAACTGACCATTTGAAGATAACATTCTGCAAGGATTTTATTGGGTTAATGGCTTCTCCCTCCAATTCCATCTCCCTGCCTAGATAAGAAAGCAATGGACAGAAGTACAGCCTGACATTCCCAATGTGTCCAGGGCAAATTATAAAATTTCTTGGATATGCGTAATAAGCTTGTTTTTTGTTTTTTTTTTGTTTTTTTATTCTTCCTTTCTTTTACCTCAACCTGTTCGATTGCAGATGTATATTTTGTATTTTTCATCAACTAATTCCTCTTTCTACACCTTAAAGGGACACTCCAGACCCCTAAAGTACTTAAAGGACCACCCTAGGCACCCAGACCACTTCAGCTTAATGAAGTGGTTTGGGTGCCAGGTCCAGCTAGGGTTAACCCTTCTTTTTTATAAACATATCAGTTTCAGAGAAACTGCTATGTTTATAAATGGGTTCATCCAGCCCTCAAATCCTCTAGTGGCTGTCTCATTGACAGCCGCTAGAGGCGCTTGCGTGATTCTCACTGTGAAAATCACAGTGAGAACACGCAAGCGTACATAGGAAAGCATTATAAATGCTTTCCTATGAGACCGGCTGAATGCGCGCGCAGCCAGCCGAAAGGGAGGAGAGGAGGAGGATCGGAGGCGGAGAGCTCACCACCCCTTTCCTCTCCCTAGAGCCCGGCGGGAGGGGGAGCCTGAGGGTGGGGGCACCCTCAGGGCACTATAGTGCCAGGAAAACGAGTATGTTTTCCTGGCACTATAGTGGTCCTTTAAGCATTCTGAAATTCATGCTTTTTGTGTGAAGTGTGTCCTCTTTTATAAATTTACCTTGTTACACCCTCCTGGCTGTCAATCAGGCAACTGGTCCTGTTACTTACTGCTTGTTTTTCTCAGTGAAGCTAAACCCTAGAGGGAGCAATTGCCTAGAGCATCTGCCTTGCAAAGACCTCTCCTTGAGCTGCATTGGGAAGTCTGTGATTGGACAGCCACAGAAAATCTGGGCAGGATTAGAAGGGGAGGGATTCCAAAGGCAGCAGAGAAGAAACCTGCAGGTTTTGCAAGCTGTAAAAACAGCTTGCAAAACCTGCAGGTTTCTTGTCTGCTGCCTTTGGAATCCCTCCCCTTCCAATGAAAAAATGCATAAGCAGGTTTTCATAAGTGGCATATTTACTAAACAGTTTCTACTGCTTTATTTGGGAGTGTTCCTTAAACCTAAGCGCTGGTCAGTATTATGCGGTTTCTCTCAAGCATGGAGGGCAAGAGATTGATCTCTCTCCAGCAAGAAAGTAGGAACAGATTTCCCTCCCAAAAGTTTGCAAGATGTATTGTTAAAAAAAAGTAGCTGCTTGTTAAAAAGAAAAAACATAATACCCACAAGTGCCAATTCCCCTTTTATAGCTTATGGAAGAAAAAAAGCAAAAACATTCTAAATGCTGTGCTTGGACTATTGCTTGGAATCCCCTTTACACAATGGGACTCCCCATCAACAGAAACCCAAGCAGGAGGTCCAAAGATCCCTAGCAACCTGGGAGAACATACCACAGTGGCCAATTACCCCCAAAATATCCTGGTTCCCTTTAAACTCCTAGTAAAAATAGCATCCTAAGCCCTTACTGTTCCTTCTTCTGTCATTTTTGGTAAGAATCTAATACCTTAGTGGGGGCTTACAGCATTCTCTGACTCCCTCCTCCCAATATTGTTACCTGTTGTTTAGGATTAGCTTTTTTGTGATTAGCAAACCAGAAATGTCAGGACAATGTTTGTTGATATTAGGAACCAGACAGACATATTTAGAGAATGCTTTATTTTTTTCCCCTGGAACCAGAGATGATTACGTATAAATTGAGCGGAACTATTTCTCTATAGCTGTCAGAGGCCGTGTTAATCTCAGAAACTGTCTTTTCCTTTCAGATACATGAAAGGGCTCCATGCGGATCTAAAGAAGGGAAAGTGGAGTGTGGAAGAGAAAAATAAGCTTTTGGAGCTGATTGAAAAACATGGAGTGGGTGAGTGAATTGTACTTGTGGTGGCTTGCGGTTTAGTAGTCGTGGCCAGCATATTCCTTGCACCATTGTGGATTTTGAGAGCACATACTGAATGTAAAGAATTAAAAATATTCTATATGCAGAACCCAATGCTCTCCAGCTCTTACTGGTTGATCCCTTATTTTATTTTTTTATTTTTTGTGACAGTTGCCAAAGCAAATACCACAATTAAAATAAAAATTTATATGAGATTTGTTCTCTAAACTCCAGATTGTACCAAACTAAAACTAGAATGATAAAGTTTAGGCAAAAAGGGTTGAGTTGGAATAATTTGCAGACTCTGCCATAGTCACCGTCTGGTTATTGTACGCAACATTCTGTTTTCAGTTCCCTAAAATTCTAAGCTTAGTGTGGCTTGAGTGTGAGATTTGACACTGGCCTGTACAATTTAGAGTGAGTTTGTAATCAATAAAATTGCAGGAAAGAAAATGTTTTTCTCTAGGTAAAAGATAATCTTTAATCTACATGTTGTTTTAGTGAAATTGTATCAATTTAATTGTATACCTGTCTGCATGAAGCACTGGAGGTGGAGGGATTTAAGGGAGGACCTCGACAAAATAGAGGGGAGTCGTTGCCATTGGCGGTCTGTATCCAGCATGCTATGCTTGTTGACAGCAGACACCGACTATGCACAACATTAACATTAGCCAGCAAAGAGATCACTGAAGTGGTCATAGTGCATGGAGGGACCCTTAGCCCCTTAAGGACCAAACTTCTGGAATAAAAGGGAATCATGACATGTCACACATGTCGTGTCCTTAAGGGGTTAAAGATAATATTGGCCTATTCGTGGCTCAGTTCACAGTTTTGTGAATCGAAGCTGATAACCGTGTATATAGGCGGGTTAGGCACTCTCCGTGGGTGATCAGAGATGTCCTTTCTAGTCATGCAAGTTTAACAGATCTTGGTTGGGAAATTGATATAAAATCACCTCCTTTTTCCACTCTCAGAAGGGTGACTGGGTTCAGGGTACTCTTGCAGCATTACGTTTCCAAAGATACAAAGTTGTCACAGTGTATGCAGGTGATACTCGAAAAATTAGAATATCATGCAAAAGTTTATTTATTTCAGTAATGCAACGTAAAAGGGGAAACTAATATATGACATAGACGCATTACATGCAAAGCAAAATAGTTCAAGCCGTGATTTGTCATATGTGTGATGATTACGGCTTACAGCTCATGAAAACCCCAAATCTACAATCTCAGTAAATTAGAATATTGTGAAAAGGTGCAATATTCTAGGCTCACAGTGTCCCACTCTAATCAGCTACGTAAGCCACACCTGCAAAGGGTTTCTGAGCCTTTAAATGGTCTCTCAGTCTGGTTCAGTAGGAAACACAATCATGGGGAAGACTGCTGACCTGACAGTTGTGCAGAAAACCATCATTGATACCCTCCATAAGGAGGGAAAGCCTCAAAAGGTAATTGCAAAGGAAGTTGGATGTTCCCAAAATGCTGTATCAAAGCACATTAATAGAAAGTTATGTGGAAGGGAAAAGTGTGGAAGAAAAAGGTGCACAAGTAGCAGGGATAACCGCAGCCTGGAGAGGATTGTCAGGAAAAGGCCATTCAAAAGTGTTGGGGACTTTCACAAGGAGTGGACTGAGGCTGGAGTCAGTGCATCAAGAGCCACCACACAGACGGATCCTGGACATGGGCTTCAGATGTCGTATTCCTCTTGTCAAGCCGCTCCTGAACAACAAACAACGTCAGAAGCGTCTTACCTGGGCTAAAGAAAAACAGACCTGGTCTGTTGCTCAGTGGTCCAAAGTCCTCTTTTCTGATGAGAGCAACTTTTGCATCTCATTTGGAAACCAAGGACCCAGAGTCTGGAGGAAGAATGGAGAGGCACACACTGCAAGATGCTTGAAGTCCAGTGTGAAGTTTCCACAGTCTGTGTTGATTTGGGGAGCCATGTCATCTGCTGGTGTTGGTCCACTGTGCTTCATTAAGTCCAGGGTCAACGCAGCCGTCTACCAGGAGATTTTGGAGCACTTCATGCTTCCTTCCACAGACGAGCTTTATGGGGATGCTGACTTCATTTTCAAGCAGGACTTGGCACCTGCCCACACTGCCAAAAGCACCAAAGCCTGGTTCAATGACCGTGGGATTACTGTGCTTGATTGGCCAGCAAACTCGCCTGACCTGAACCCCATAGAGAATCTGTGGGGCATTGCCAAGAGAAAGATGAGACATTAGACCGAACAAAGCTGAAGAGCTGAAGGCCGCCATTGAAGCATCCTGGTCTTCCATAACACCTCAGCAGTGCCACAGGCTGATAGCTTCCATGCCACGCTGCATTGAGGCAGTAATTGCTGCAAAAGGGGCCCAAACCAAGTACTGAGTCCATATGCGTGCTTATACTTTTCAGAGGTCCGATATTGTTCTATGTACACTCCTTGTTTTATTGATTGCATGTAATATTCTAATTTACTGAGGTTGTGGATTTAGGGTTTTCATGAGCTGTAACCCATAATCATCGCACTTATGACAAATCACAGCTTGAACTATCTTGCTTTGCATGTAATGCGTCTATCTCATATATTAGTTTCCCCTTTTTATTTTTTGTAATTCTTTCTTTTATTGAGACATTGAGTTATGCGGTACAGAATGTGAACAAGAATAAAGTAGTTGGCGCAAAAGTCCAGATGTTAATCAAACAGTTGAACAGTATGCTCCTGGCAGATCTGTCTCATTTTTTAAAATAAACAAGCTAGTCTAATAAGTAACAACAAGCTATATCATATAGTGCAGTAAAACAAACAAGTGATATACAGCTATTGTTATGGTATGTTGGATCTAGGCTAGTAAAAGTAGAGTAGATTAATACATGCTAGGTTTAGCTTACATGTAAGATTGGGTAACGTCTACAGTCTAGTTTTTAGTAAGGGAAACATGCTATGCTTTGTCAGGAGGCCGGATAGATGCAGTAAGGCATATGAATGTACTGTGCACATAGGATACAGGCTAGGCATGAGTAGCAGATAAGGCTGACTTTTGATTTGTACAATACTATGTCACAGTACTTGCTTGGTAAAAAAAAAAAAACAGGATCGGGCTAAGCAAGGTAACAAGGGTTAATGTTTTGGCACTCTCAGGGTGCTGGATCAAACCTGTGGAGCCTTTGTCCTGCACAGCTGCTAGTAAAACTGTTAATAGGTGCTTATAAGGTATATGAACGTGGTCAATGACTAACTGGCATCGGAGTCAACGGCTTAAATATAGACTGGCAATGCATGAATTGTAAACCGCTGACATGAGGCAGAGGTAGGGAAAAACAGAGCATTAGGGAAAAACAAATCATTAAAGCAGGGTGAATGTAGTGGTTAAGAACCGTGCTCAGCTGCAGTAAAAAGAGTTCTCTTAGCTCTGCCTCTTCACCCGATGCCGGTTACGTGCTGGAGCAGATAGTCCATTCTTTGGCCCGATAGCAAATCCGACCGGAGCGGGAGTGCAGCCTGGAATCCCATGCATCCGTTTCTTGTCTTGGGTCTCCCAGAGTTCTTTCTGCTGGTGAGGTTGGTCGGGTTCCTGCACATGAATACTAGTTTGAGTGCTTGTGTGTTGGCAGGGTCCGAGTCTGTCGTGGTGCTGGAGCGTGCAGGCTGCTGGACCCGGTTGCTGCCAGGTGGAGTGGGTGAGTACATCTAGGTATGCGTTTAGTTGCAGCATGGCGCTGTGGAGGTGGGGAGCCCCTCCACCTCTGAGGTTGCTGGTGAGCCGATGCTCCATTTCTGCGTGCGTGAGTCCCAGTGTGGTCTCTGGCCTTTGCGGGGATGGTGGCACGGTGGGCGCTGTGTGTTGCCCGCTTTGTGCTCCATTTGCTCTCCATATTCTGTGGCTGAGGCTTGAGGGTTGGCTTGTGGCCATGTAGGGCTGGGTGTTTTACCCGGTACTCTGTTGTCTGTTGAACGTCGTGGGGTGCTGTGCCCGGGTGGGTTTTCGGCTTCTGCATCCTAATCCGGTGCCAGTTAGCTTTATCTGGTTGGCGTAGTGTGGATGCCTGTGCCGCCGTGCAGACCGTTGGTGGCTGTACAGGCTGGGTCCTTCCCTCCAAATTGG